GGCTGACCCATCTATAATTCCCCAGGCCCTCTTTGTTCTTCCTTTTAAAGACAGGTGCTAGAGTTGTCCTTCTCCAATCCTCAGGGGACCTTCACTTGTCCTCCATGAGTTCTCAAAGGTAACTGCTAACAGTTCTGAGATTGCTTCAGCTAGTCCAGGGGTGGGCAAACTCTGGCCTGCGGGCCACATCCGGCGGCAGACTTGCCCCCGGCCCCTCCCCTGCTGTTCCCCCTCCCCCGCATGGTTTTCTGCATGTTTTTTATCCCGGGGCTACTACCTCTTGTACTCTCGGGACCTTTCCACAGCAGTCGCGCAAAGTGGTTGCACATCGCTTCCAGGGGACAACCTACCATTGTAGTGATAAACTACCTGAAGACAAAAATCCAAAAGGCACGTGTGATTGGCACAGCTTCTACAAACCGGCTGATCAACTGATGTTCTTGGTTTGAAACCCGAATCTCTTCTCCTAAGAGGACTGCCTACCACAGCTAGCAACCCCCCTCTGCCCAGACAGTACCCAACTTTCATTCCTTCAAATTGCAGAATGCAACAACGGAGGAGCCTAGCAATACAGCTATTTTTCCATCTTGTTTAGTAGCTGGGCTTAGTTCCCAAGCTAGTATTTGTTGGGTACATTTTTCAAGACCTGCCGGTCTAAGAGGAGCATTTACTGGGTGCCTGTCTTAAGTGTTTGCCTCTCCTTACAAGGCCATCTCAATTAAGCAATTCATTGTCAATCCTTTGAGGAGCTGCTTTATACAGCTTTCACTCTATATTTACTTCTAATTTCAGTTGAAGATGAGTTATCTTTGGAACATAAAGTTTTAACTAAAAATATCCTACAGACATGGAAATTCCCAGTGATAAACTTGACAAGAGTCAAGGAGTTTAGATAGGCCAGTATGGAAGGAATAACTTGAATGTTATGAGAGTGCTTATACTCACCACACCTAAAGAATAGAGTCCTGCAAAAATCTGCTTTATATCCGTGCATATCCACAGACCATGTTTGCGGATCGTGGATGGATGTGGATCAAAATTTTGTATCCGTGCAGGTCTCTACCAATGAAGCCAATACTAATGGGCACCTGCACTAATGACTAGCAAAACCTCAGTCCCTATCAACCTCCCCATCTTCTCCTATATCAAGGAGTCCAGCATTAGATGATCATCAGCAACATACAGATGAACCATATGGTCACAGATGAACCATATGGCTGATTAAGTTGCATTGAAATGGACCAACTATGGCATCCAAAAGAGAAGTTGCTCCAACTCTTTTCTTTTGGGGGGGGGCAACCACCACCACGGCCACCTGGGATACTGCAGTGAAGCACCTCAATAGTAGGTGCTTTAGCTATGATAGGCTGAGCTGGTCAGCCCTATATCAGATAGCCATCTTGTGTAATCATTCCCCTTCATGCCAAGAGAAAGAAAACCCAATAATGACCACTGTTATATAGTTGTCCTATAGATACAAAAGCCTCAATATATTTATCTATATATCATAATGATAACTATGTTACTCAAGATAACTTTGTAGCTGAAACAGCAACCTTATAAGTTTCTCTTATTTTGCTATAAATCTCCCACCCACATCCAGCTATTCCAGGAATGTCTAGCCATTTTTTTTTTTTTTTAAAAGGTGGTGTTTAAAAAAAAAAAAAAAAACTCAGAATATTCCCATGATTTCCCCCCCTCCCCCAGAATCCTGACTCATTTCAATTCAATCATGCAATACCTTCACTTACAATACAGTGTGTGCTTATCTACATACATATGTGAGCAGTCTCTAATGCCTCAACATTCCATATATAAGTGGTGCATAATTTCTAACCTTTGAGTTAGTTTGCCATTCATTAGCCTTTTACAGAAATTATTTCACAACACCATGATTTAAACGCTGATTCTTTACAATTAAGACGATCAAGGGCATGTTGCAAGATCATCAAGCACAAACAAGAATAAGTTTGTACCTGTTTTACAATCAAAATCAGCAACTTATGATCAAAATCATCACTGTGCAGAATAGATTTATTAACTGTTTTTATACAAAAAAAATATGTTCAGCCTCAAAATCCCTGTGGAAAAGGGACTAGGTTAATGTGAAATTGTATGACAGAAGATGCTGTTATAGAATAAGTGTTGTTAAGTGGAGTTGTATGATGGAGTATGTTGTTGGATGACGACCAAAATAACACATGCTGTTTGGTGCACAGATACAGATGCTTGGACTCCTGGACTAAAGTTTCACCAAGCCTTCCCGTTTGGAACTTTAGGTGTTTGAATTTGTCAACTGGCAGTTTATTTTTTTAAATATTATTTTTAAAAGTGTTGTTTCTAACAGAGTAGCTGTTAACCAGTACATACTAAATATCTTCCCAAAAATCCCTTAAAAAACAAAAAACTTATGTGAGTGTCTTTCTTCCTGATGCCCTGTCGAAGTTTTGTAAAGGGAGCAGAAAGGGATGTTAGTTTCAGAAGAGTGGAAACTGATTTAGGCTCCAATCCTGTAATTTAGATTACAAAAGATTGCTGCACTTGCATGGAGTTCCAAAGAATTCAGGGGGCCTCGCCAGTCTGTCCATATGCTATCAGTTGTAGGATAGAAGCCTGACAACTAAGGGACCGATTCTTCAATGGACTCCAAAGGAGCAGATCCCTGTGCAGATCTCCATTGATTTCAATCTGTCCATTCAGCACTCACTGCAGGATCGGTGTCTTTCTAACTTATTACACAGGGATACAATGAAATTTGCTACACACAGCGCTGCCAACTGCAAAGTAAACAAACTGTAAAGACAAAGAGAATGTTTTCGCGAATCTCTTTCAGTTACAGTGATCTTAATAGTTACAAGTAACACCTATGACCACAAAAAGTTTTCAAGCAGAATTGTGATTTTTAAGTTTAAATAAACTTCATATATTTTTTTTTAGGTATTAGTAGGGCCCTACCATACCAAATTTGCAGCCATGAAAAATACATCATGGACTGTGAAATCCGGTTTCCCCGTGACATCTGATCTTTTGTGTGCTTTTACCCTATACTATACAGATTTCACAGGGGAGATCAGTGTTTCTCAAATTGGGGGTCCTGACCCAAAAAGGAGTTGCGGGGTGCAGAGGGGGAGGGGTGTTGCAAGGTTATTTTAAGGGGGTCCGGTATTGCCATCCTTACTTCTGCGCTGCCTTCAGAGCTGGGAAGCCGGAGAGCAGCGGCAGTTGGCCAGGCGCCCAGCTCGGAAGGCAGTGCCCCACCAGCAGCAGTGCAGAAATAAGGATGGCAATACCATACCATGCCATCCTTACCTCTGCACTGCTGCTGGCGACGCCTCTGCCTTCAAAGCTGGGATCCTGGCCAGCAGCAGTCGCTGCTCTCCGGTTGCCTAGCTCTAAAGGAAGCGCCATCGTCAGCAGCAGCGCAGAAGTAAGGGTAGCAGTACTGCAACGTCCCCTACAATAACCTTGTGACCCCCTCTCAACTCCTTTTTGGGTCAGGACCCCTACAATTACAACACCATGAAATTTTAGATTGAAATAGCTGAAATCATGATAGTTATGATTTTTAAAATCTTATCACTGTGAAATTGACCAAATATACTGTGAATCTGGACTTTAAAGAAATACTATTTGTTCTTATCCTTTCTAGAAACTCCCCTGTTCATTCAGTGCTCGCCTTATGACATACAGGACTCTCAGCTAACAGAGGGAAAGAAAATTAAAGGTATTTTAAGAAAGAGTAACAGATGACCACCTCTGATTTTGCTGGCTGGCACAGCTCCACCCAGCACCCTCAACAGTTGGACCTGCATGTTCATGCTGTGCTCACCATTTACAATACTATAAAACAATTATGTCCTAAAAAGAATGTTTTCTCCAGTGCATGTTTACCGAACTTTATAACTCACAGATTTCTCTCTCTCTTTTTTTTAAAAAACACAGGCTGTCAGCAACAGGTGTTAAGTGTGAGAAGGAAAAGAATGCAGAACAATCGCACCCAACTTTTTTTGAACAGTTACAAAGTTCTGCTAAAAGACAACTTCACCTGTACCATCTAAAGTGCCCACTGAGGGTTGCCACTCATGTAGGATTGCCTGACAAGGCATCGACGTATGACTCTGAATACCTTTCCGGACCTGAAAAAGGGCTCTGTGTAGCTCAAGGGTCTGCCTCTTTCACCAACAGAAGTTGGTCCAATAAAAGATATTACGTCACTCACCGTGCACCTCTACTATGATATTAAAAAGCAAGTTCATGACTAGAGCAAGGGTCAGCAACCTTTCAGAAGTGGTGTGCTGAGTCTTCATTTATTCACTTTAATTTAAGGTTTCGTGTACCAGTCATACATGTTAACGTTGTTAGAAGGTCTCTTTCTATAAGTCTATAATATATAACTAAACTATTGCTGTATGTAAAGTAAATAAGGTTTTTTAAATGTTTAATTTCATTTTAAACGAAGCTTCTTAAAATGCAGAGCCCCCCGGACCAGTGGCCAGGACCCGGGCAGTGTGAGGGCCACTGAAAATCGGCACGCCTGCCATAGGTTGCCTACCCCTGGACTAGAGCATTGGACTGGGACACAGGAGAACTGGGCTCTTTTCCTGGCTCTGCCACCAGCCTCCAGAAAGTCACTTCCCTGCTCTGGGTGCAAGTCCCCCGCATCCCTCAGAGGGAAGATAATGATCCCAGCTTCACCGGCACAGCGCTTGGAGATCTACGGCTGAAGAACCCGGCGCAAGAGCCAGGCATGACTCCGAACCGGGACGGCACGGTGGCAGCCATCGCCTCCGCCCGTCAAAGGGGGAGGGGTATCTCCCAGCCCCAGGCCAGACCGGCGTAAGCCCCCCCCGGTCCAGGGCCCTGCCCAGCTGGGGGAGGGGGCCGCGAGGCCTCCCCCCCAGTCAGCCCTAGCGCCCGCGAGGCTCCGAGGGCCCCAGTCAGCGCGGGGCCCGGGGCTGCCGCCCGGCCCCGACCCGGCCCCGACCCGGCCCGATACTCACAGAGCAGGAGGCGGCCCAGGAGGCGGGAAGCGCCGCTGCAGTGAGACATCGTCTCCTTCGCCAATGACACGGGGCCCGGGCGGGCGGCTCCGCGCGCGCACGCAGGCGGCCAGCGAGAACGCCGGAGGCCAAACCGCCCCTAAACCCGCCTTTGCCAGGACAGCCCCGCCCTGCCACGGGGCTATGGGGCCCGGCGCTGGCCCGGCCACCAATCCCGCATCCGGCCCTGGGTGGCGGCTCCGCAGCCGGCCGGGAGGGGTCCTCGCGAGCTGAGGGCAGGACCCCGCCGCGCAGGGGGTTGTGGGGATTGTAGTTCAGTGGTAGAGAGGGGGAGAAGGGCAGAGAAGGCTGAGCGCTTAGGGGAGGGGAAGGTGTGAGGGGGAAGAGCCAAAGGAAAAGGGGGCAGAGGGGGGATTTTCATCCAAGACTCAGAGCAAATCAGTTGTAAGGCTCCCTTCACCATCAGTTCAGCCCAACCCCTCATGGCAAAGCATGGAGCCTTGGTGTAAACCGGGCTATAGGCTTCTGGTGTTTGCTCCCGCCCCTGTTTTAAGGCAGCAGAAAAACAGGGTTGCCAACGCATGCAGTTTTATAGGCTCCATTTAGGACTCAGCCCTACAAGGTGTGGCACAGCCTGGCCCTGATCCAGCAAAGCTCTTAAACACTTGCCAAAACGTAAGCATCTGAGTAGACCCATTCAAGTCAAGTTTAAGTGCTTGACTGGATCAGATTAGGGTTGCCAACCCACCAGGATTGGCCTGGAGTCTCCCGGAATTGGCGTCCATCTCCCGGTGACTATTGAAAGCAATCCGGGAGATTTTAATAGGCTATTTTAAGAAAATGACATTGCATCATGTGGGGGAAAATAATTTCCCGGAATAGCTTCAGTCAGAGTTGGCAACCCTAGATCAGATCTGGACACCAGAGTGCTCGGCATCTTGCTGGCTTGAGTCCTTAGTTTGGACTTGTCATAGAAATTTCTGTCCGTTCCAGCTGAGGAATAAGGAGAGACGGACACAGCTAATCAAGCAAGGAGCCCCGGGAGGGGCGATCCATTTATTTCAATTGCAATTGGGTTCGAGCTCATAAGTCAGCAAGAACAAAGAAAACACTTACACCAAAGCATTATATGCAGTTGCTTATGATAATCTATCGCTCTATGATTGGCCAAAATTTGCCATCATTACCATACATAATTAGCAAGCTACATGTATCTGCCCCTCTTATGACCCCTTATTGTTCATCTATTTGCCCCCTCCTCCTTGCTTATTTTGCAAACTAAGTGGTTAGCTATCTACAGGACGCAGGCACAGAAAGGTCCATTGTCTCCAGGTTTGGAGTTTGGCTACATTTCCTCTTGAAGGAACTTCCAGACTACCTATAGCTGACCCTGCATTTTGTCCTTCTTCTTTCTCCCATGTGTACGTGACAAATTTGCTCCCTGGCAGTTAAGCAGAATAATTTTATATCAGACTGATCTCTAATTAAGAGTTTCCCTATACTGTGCCAGACTTTGCCATCCATCATTTTATGAAAATAAAAGCCAATAATAACCAACCTAAACAAAGGAAAGACAATGAAAACTGGCCCACATAACTCCCAATTTCCCTGTTCGAACTTAACAAAAATAATTAAAAAGATACTGGCCAAACAATAGAACCCAGTGTTCCCTATTAAAAGGCATACTGATTACTGACAACATTTAGCTAGCAAATATTATGTATTTATTTATTTGCATTGTAGTAGTACATAATGGCCCCAGTCAGGAACCAGGGTCCAGTGTGCTAGGCACTATACAAACATACAACAACAAAAAACAGTCTCTGCCCCAAAGAACAAAGTAAATATAAAACGAGAGACAACAGTTGGATGCAACAGACGGATGCAACAGTCAGAGGATTATGATCAGCATAATGAGCAACAGTCACAACACACAAACTGCATAATCATTGTCAAAATGGTTGGAGATTAAATGATTTTGAAATGAATTGAAAAAATAATTTCTAATCCTATTCCTCATATACAGTGAAGTTTACTGATTTGGCTGACTTTAGGGGTGAGTGAACATGTTTGGATAAATTAAGTAATCACCTGAATATTCAACCAAAATTCAAACTTAATTTTTGGGGAGGATTCATAAAGGTTGAGGTTTTTCTCCCAAGTTTCATGCACCCCTGCACTTCTTGTGGCCAGTATTGAAAGAGGAAATGCTTAAATAACCACAAGATAAGCTGCTCTTGTGAGATTTGCGCCCAGATTTTGCACACTGAAGCAGTTTGGGTAATGTCCGGATGAGCTTCTAAACTTCTAGGTTCTCCTCAAAACCTCTAAACCTTTGAATGTTCATTCATCCATCACTTGCTGACATACCTGCCAGATTCTCAGCTGGAGTAAATCAACATACAGTGTGTGTCCATTTATTCAAATGGCCTGAGAGACATTCAAAACTTTTGGATAACTGGGCTTTCAGATACACGGAAGTATTATTTTCAGCTGCAGTGTCCCTGATATAGAAATACAGGGAACAAAGAGAGTAGTGCTGATGTTTGCTTAACACTTTGTACTTTATTAAAGAGTAAAAAATCAGCTGAAATGGTATTAGGTCTCAGTAATTTAAGGTAACGGGTCAAAACTGCTATACAAATACAAAGTCACAGATTAAGGCTAACAGGCAGTAAAAGACTAATTGGGAAATTAATAGTGGGTGATTAACATCAGACTATGCGGGGGACACACTGTGGATTCATATAAATAGGATTTTCGGATAAAGGGAATTAGGATAACTGGAATTATACTTTAGTTCAACTGAAGTCAATGGATCTACACCAATGAATACCAGATGAGGATCTTTCTAGGCAGTGAGGATGAGATTTTCAAAGGCACCTAAATGATTTAGCAGCACAAATCCCATTGGTTTTCAGTGGGACTTGTATGCCTATATTACACAGGCAGTTTTGAAAATCCCATCCACAGACTATATAGATGAAGTTTACACCAGTCATGACTACATTCTTGTGTTGAAAAATTACAGTTGAGCTACAATTTGGAGGAATTTGTGCCCACCCACAGCTGATTTTCCAAATTTACCAGTTTGACAGAATAATTTAGGCAGGCAGATGACAAGATGACTGTGGACCTGATAAATTGGCAAGAACAATGATCAGTCACAGGGGTCTGAAAACTGCTCCCTCATTACAAATTAAGAGAGAGAAAGAGAGTTCAAGCACCCTTTTTAAGGTAAAAATAAACACTGATTCTACACCAGCACATCTCAAATTAATCCATTCACTTAATGCCAGTGTTACTAAGATCAGAATGAAATCTTAAATGCTAAATTAAGCCTTTGGATGCCCAATTTCTGATGAAGTTAAATTTTGCCCTGGGATTACACGCCCCACCATCTCACATTAGCTTTAGAAGTACATTGACTGCCATGAGATTTATGCCTGGGTCCATGTGATAACCTAATTTTCCTCAATATGTGGCTTTCACTGAGACTCATGGAATGATTATGCAGTTTTAGTTGAGAAGCCATTGTATTATTATCAGCATATGTAGCTGATCTTTCCTGTTGACCATTTCTATACAAACTGCCCAGCCATGAGAAAGCCATTCAAAAGGAGAAAACGAAGACAGAAAATGAAGTGGAGAAGAGGAAAGAATGAAATTAGGAGAATAAAGAAAACAAAAAGGGAGAATAAACAAACAGCTGTTCTCAAGAGATTTCCCTCATTTTGGTTCATGTTTTGAAGCCTAATTCAAATCTACACCATTGTTAGGGGTTGGATAAGAATCCAATCCCTGAATTCTAACTTTGGCAGTATCCAGATCTAGAGATGTAGTCCACTTCTAGATTATATAATGGTGCCTTTTATCTTAGATTAAGATATTTGGTCTCAAAAAGAATGCCAGCCGTGAATACCTTGCAGGGCTTCAAAATTGAAAGGACATCCATGTACGAAGAGAGTAGTATGAAAAAAATAAGAAGTGTTCCGTTTTGGAGTATTGCTAGAGAAAGAGGCACGGTCAAGGTTTAGTTTCGACTCCCAACCCCAGAAGCTGAAATTGGCCTTTAGCCATTCAAAACCTGAACATTGTTTCTGGATGTGAAAGTTCATTTCAGGCTCCTCACATACATGGAGGTTTTTAATCATCATTACATCAGAAAATATTAAGGTACAGAAGCCTGGCCATCCCCAGCTAGAAAATGTATAATTGGGTATATATGTGTGGAGGTGGAAAAAATTCCACGTTTTTAAGACAATAGACTGGCTCACACCAGAGAACACTGTGACTCACACCACTTAAATTTACTGCTTTGGTAAACTGCCAGGAAAGAACTTGTTCTGTCTAGGTAGGAATAATATAGCAATTACCAACACCTTCATAAACTGGTATGGGATCAGAACACTTGTAGGTACACAACAAAGCAAATGCACCCTCACAAAATACAGCAGAAAGATTACATGATCTGTCTTATATTTCAAGGCCAGAAGGGACCATTGTGACCATTTGTCTGACCTCCTGTATAACATAGGTCATAGAATCTCCCCAAACAATTCCTAGAGCTGAGCTTTTAGAAAAACATCCAATCCTGATTTTAAAATTGCCAGTGATGGAGAATCCACCATGGCCCTTGGAAAGTTGTTCCAATCATCAATTACTCTCACCATTAAAAATGTACACCTCATTTCCAGTCTTGGTAAGGCAGCCAGGTACTACTGTGACACAAGTAATAAAAATAACATTGGGTGGTACAAAATCCATGAAGAGCAGTGTGATTGGAATGACAGCAATGCTAGGAGTCAGCAGCTCTTGAGTTCCGTTCCTGATTCTGCCACTAACTTCTGTGTCTCCTTGAGGCTAGTAATTTAGTTCAAAAGCTGCAGTTTAAAACTAGGCACCTAAATCCATATATAGACTCCTAAATAATAAATCTATCTATAAAATATGGATAGTAAAAACTGTTGTGAAGCTAAAATTATGTTTGTAAAGTGCTGTGAGATTTTCTCATGGAAGATGCTATAGAGGAAGACCGTATTATTATGACCAAAATAAAGAAGACAGCATGACACACTGTTTTGTTTTGAAGTCTCAGTTTCCTTTTTATTTATTTTGTGAACATGCACTTGATGTCACCAGTGCT